TTTTTGAAAAACAAGCAAAATATTAATTGTATGAATATTGGCCAATACTCTGAAATGAAATTATAATGTTTCTTACTACTTTTAATGTGTTTTTTCAGGGTGCCTATGCTGTACGCTACTGTGGAGACATTTGGCAAGTACCTCGCCATTGGGTTCTTTTTAGCGACGGCGTTTGCTGGGATCAGTTCTTTAATAGCACACCTTGAACTCTATGCAAAAACCTTGGAAGATTTTGGCAGTAAGTGTCATTACTGTAAAATACTTTATTTTCGCTTGGAATTAATTTTTGCTATTTTTGCTGAAGGGATGATTCAGTGAAAATAAAATCCAGCGAATATACCTTTTTTCGTATATTTTACATTCAACTTGTCAAAAATCAGTGAAAATAAATTCCATACAAAAAAAAAAAAAATGTATATTCAGCGAAAATTAATTCCAGTTAAAATAAAGTATTTTACAGTACTATGCGAACACCAAATAAACAAACATGATTGTTTTTTTTGCTCATTTGCATATCAACAGTGAAAATTCTGGGTTTTATTTACAAAGGTGCAAAACGTAATCTGCAGTACGTGTAATATTAAACTGGTTACATTTATCTGCATAATTGATACATAATAATTTTTGTAAGATACAGGTTGTATAGTGTTATCCTGTGTTGTTGTTTTTTCAGTAAAAAGGGTGCCATCTGTAATATTTTCATCAATAGTTGTTTTTCTGATCAATTTTGGAGCTTCCTCAAGTGTAGAAGTTCTAGTGAGTCTGGTGAGTGCCATCATGTAAGCTCGCTTTGCAATATAACATTTCTTATTAATATAATTAAAAAAAAAACTTTGTAATTTAAATTGTTGGAAGAAGACGTTTCAATACATTGAAATGCTTCGTTGCTAAGATGACTAATTGAAAATTCATATTTACTTCTACAATGTAATGCATTTGTTAAAACAATATGGCCACCAGGCAGCCATTTTGAGTCCCATATTTGTTGATGTTTATAATGTGACGTATTTGAAAAAAATCTATACACAATTAAGTAGAATGACAGAAATTCTTTTAATTTAAATGGTTGGAAGAAGACCATTAATTGGTGATTAATTGGTAATTGAAAAGCTATATTCAAATTCCGATTTATTTCTACAATGTAATGCATTTGTTGAAACAAAATGCCCACCAGGCAGCCATTTTGAGTCCCATATTTGAACAAAATATATACACAACTAAGTTTTGGTTCTTGAATGACAGAAATTCTTTTAATTCACCATCAACAAATATAGTCTTGATCAAAGGCTAGTATCAATGTCATATTATTGGTGTAAAATACTATTGAAGTTAAATTTGTTGCATTCTATAGTTTTGGTGAAAAAGAAATAGATTGACAAAAACCACCCATTATACAATAAATATAGCTGCTTTTAACCTTTTCACCACCAGTTCGTTCTTTTCATCACAAATTCACAAAAACGTCCCAACTGCACTTTCCTTCAAAAAACAAAACAGACAAAAATAGCCAAATATTTTTAGTAAAAACTGAAAATTTACTCAAATTTTGTTTTTTGTTTCTAAAATATAAGGAAAAAGTGCAGAAAAATTTGGATGAGAAAGTCTGGTGGTGAAAAGGTTATACCCTTTTTTTCAATTTAAAAATGGAGATACAGTTTTTATTTGCAGTGTTTATTTCATGCCATATAACAATGTAATTCTTTGTGATTACATGATAGGATTACGTATGGGCTTATCAATTGGTTATATCAGGACTATTATTTCAGTATCTTGTTATCCGTTTTGGTGCCACTAAATACAGAACTCAGATTATCAACGAATACGGTACAACTGATTGGATCTTACCAAAGCCATGGGAATGGCTTATTAAGTAAGTGCCCTTCCTTAGGGACGACGTCAAAAGATCGATGTCTGATAAAAAACTTAATTCCTTTAGTTTTTTTCCAAACCCCCCCTACCCCCCACTGAAACTTAATTGATAAATATTGGTCATGGCGTCAGACTACATTCACCATTAAATACAAATTGATAATCGGACAGTAGTATTTCATAGCAGTTGGTTGTCGAGTGGGTGTAAAAAGATTTTACAAATGCACCTCATTTGACGCACAGATTTACACTCGAACCAAACCATTTTTCTGTTTTTTTTCTTTTTCGGTTATTTCTGTCAATGATTGGATAGAAAAAAAAAAAAACTACAAATACTCCAAGATTTGTTTGACTTCATTAAAAAATAAAATCGTTTTTGTAGGATGGAAACTTTTTGAGGTCAAAATCCCCCACCCCCAAACTAAAGGAAATAAGTTTTTTATCCGACATCGATCTTTTGACGTCGTCCCTTAGTTATAAACAAGTATATGACCTGTCAATCACCTTTATAACAGTTATCACACGGCAATGCACACTGCTTCTTCCCATGATTCCAAGCACACTTCTATTTGCAGGGTTTGAGATAATATGACAACAAAATAGACTAAAGGATGCTGACAGTCAAACATATATTAATATTCTGAACTATATTATTATCCATGAAATCCAGCCTCACATCAGAAAAAGTTAGAAAAACTGTCTGTTGATATTGTGCAGGACAACACTGAGAAATCAGGTTATCCTTTGATTCCATAAAATTGATAATGTCCAGTGTGTCCTCTGAGTGAATATGACATGTCATTGACACACAAATATTGGATGTGATGTGTCCAGCTGTCATTGAAAAAAACATCTTACTTTAAAGTTACGGAATTTTTAATTTGGTAAAATTCACATTTTATATATGAAATAAGTGTAAAAATGAAGAAAATCAGAGGCTATGACATTTTGTTTGCCTCTCAAGTCACATATAAAGTCACATACAAATCAAACTTTTTTGTTGAAGACCGACCAATTTCACTCAGCTTGATTTTGAGGGATTCCATATTGATTCAAGATCTTTACAAAATAATCCCGTTAGAGGGTACACTGATAGTATCTGTGAACTGTCAAAATATCAAGTATAATTGGATGAATTTATATACTCGGGGGCGGACATCCGGGCATTTTCACCGCCTGGCAACCAGCGGCGGTGAAAACAAAGGCCCAAAACTCGCAGAAAACGGTACTTTGGGATGAGTGTTGAGACTCCTCTGAACAGTGTAACAAGATTAGCCCTACGTGTGTAACATATATAAATTTGGTTGTTCAGGATTACTTCAAAGTTGAGTTTGTGTTGTTTTCTCGAATTTTCACCGGCTCGACCGGCGTTCCACAGCAGCGCGCACAGAGACCATAGAAATGCATGTACAGTAGTAAGCGTCTTAGCAGCAACGTGGAACGTCTCATGACGTAGCTCCGCCCCCGAGATTGTTTATTTATCCACTACATCCCTCGTTCATGATTTCTTCCTCATATTGGTCAGAAAAAAAAACTTTAAATTAATAAGTAGTCAGTCAGCTGTGCTAATTAAATGATGGTAATCGCTGTTTTGAGTAACTATTCAAAATAGCTAGACATTTTCGATCAATAACTCTTTATTAACTAGGCTAAGTGTAAGAAAGAACTCACTCAAACTTGCTATAAATGGTGACTATGCAGTCTATGCATATCATTTCAAATCTGTGCATATTAATCAGACAATTTGCATAATAATTTAAACCACTTGTTTCTTGTATATTTCAAAATGTATACTGGCTTAAGGAGATTCAATGTCTAATGATAATTTTGAATTATTCTGTACTAATCTACATATGTTTATATTGCATATTGATGTAAACTTGGTACACGGATACTGCTTAGGAAGTCCAATGATAATAGTTCAGAAATAAATTTGTTTTTCACTAATTACTATTTTAAAGCGCCGTAGTTGTCGCGCTAAGCATGTGCAAGATATATGGGTCTCTGATAAACAAAGATGGCACGTTTCCAAGCTTTAATTGGTAATTTTCATGTGATTGGAAGGTATCGAAGGAGTCGCGCCCAGGTCAAACCTCATACTTTCGTGATTTCCATTTGAAGAGCGCATTGGATTGTGGGAAAATCAATGTTTATCAACACAATATGTGTATATGTGATTATGTTGCCTGGTAGAAAAACAAACCCTAGTCGGTAACAATTACAGAGATTATGTATGAAAATGATGAATTATTGTTTGTTTGTTTGTTTGTAGGTTCATTGCTCCATTTGAAGCATTGGTGTTGTTGCTATGGTTTCTGATTAATGAACTTATTACCAAACCTGATTGGTACTTGTTGGATACTCTTTCGTTGATGAACCTCATTATGCAGGTATGTTTGAAATCCTAAGTTAATGCAAAGCTACTTATAAGACTGAACCTGACGCTAACGCTTTGACTGCCAGATATTTTTACCACCAAATATTCAGCATAAATTGTTACTCAATAAATTGGCAATATACAAAAAAATTTCAACATATTTTTTGAATCACATAGATGGTATCTGAAATTTGGTTTTAAATTGTGATTAATAGGTGTGTCAATTTTTAGCAAGACTTCATGTCAGAAGCAAAATGTTCAGAAATATTTTGTGCTCAAAGTCAGGCCAATCAGTGAGCATCTTTTTTGTTGACAATTTATTTCAGCGTATCAAATTTTGCCTTGTAAATATGATTTAAATATATTTAAATGTGACTGGAAATCTCTGCAGCCATACTGTAATGATTACACTTCAATGCATGAACACCAAACAAATATAATTAAACTTTACAAAGACAACATACTGGTACAATCATTGAGTCGAGTATCCAGAATTTTGAAATAATTTAAAAAATGCTTTCTTTATTTTTAAAATAAAATGGTAAATAGTCATCACAGCAGTTGAAAGTCTTAAAAATTATTCAACCACACGGATAGTGGCAATATTGAAAAGTTGACCCAGCAAACTACTTCTTTTAAATCTACTAATTGTGAAATATGTTAGTTTTAGCTAAAATTTCATTCTGAATTCTTGGCTGAACCGGATTTTGGTCATTTATGAACGGATTTCATTCAAACTTGGTACATACATTGAACTTTATGGCACCTTGATGCAAGTCATTTTGTTTTTCAGGTCAAATTCAAAATGGCTGCCTGGCCATTTTGTTTTAACAGACATAGTTCTTGGGCTATTTTTGATTTCTCCTGACTGATCATGTTCAGACTTTACTTGTACATCATACATTGTGCCAAACATGTGCATATGTATTCCAATGGCCAAATTGCAGTTGTTTTTTATCAAAATCAAGCATTTCTACAATTCAGGAATCTCAGTCATGCATAGACTTGTTTTGTTCAAACTTAATACGTACATTGAACTTTATGGGACCTTAATGCTTGACACTTTCTATTTTTAGACCGGCCTCTAAATGGCCGTCTGGTGGCCATTTTGTTTCAGTGAATGCACTTTTGGAGCCATATCTCTGACATTCTCTGACTGTTTATGCTCAAACTTTATATGTTTCTTAACCTTGAGAACTCACAGATTACATTTACACATGCCTTTGTGATTCTGCCCATTGGTTCAAATCTGGTGTAAAACCTATAGTTGGATACTATTTGTAGAATATTCAATTGCTTTTAAAAGGAGTAACTCTATTACAAACACTTTGGATGTCATAATTAATATTAGGCTTTAACTCTTCTAATGGTTTGTTCATTTCAGTGGAGCATTGCAACAGCTCTTCTGATCATACCAAATTACATCTATGTTTGCTGTTGGTTGCCACGGAAACGAAAGAAAGATGATGATCTTGTGATGCCAGAAAGAGAAGATTTTCATGAGTCTCCAGGAAAACAGGCATTTATGTATACTGAAGAGAACAAGTAATAATTTCTACAGCTGTCTAAATAGAAGCAATATTGTAGATTTACAGTTCTGACAGTAAAGGACTATGGGTGACTGGAACTGCTTGGTACTGTAAAAGGATTAATTATTCACTGGGTTTTAATTTTGTTTATTTCGCTGAATGGAAAATGCGCTAAATTAAAACCCAGTGAATATATAAGATTTAGTATACAACACATTATCTAAATGATAAAACCGTGAATTTAAAACCCACTGAATATGCCTGAAATGGTAAATCAGCGTAATTTAAACCCAGTGAAAATTAGTCATTTTACAGTAATTCATTATTTTCTACAAGCCACCTGTAGATGGCGCTGTACAAATGTTAGTAACATTGCACTGTATTCACTATTAAATGAAGATAAAATTAAAGTAATGTTTTTTGGGGATTAATTGACACCAACTTGTATTTTTTAAATAAATTATAAAATTTTGTACATAATCCCAACCATGATACTGTAATAATGCAACGATACATGCAAAAACTCGTATGTTCAAACATTTTTCAGTATTTTAGTTTAAACACTTATGTTGGTTTTGATTGTATTGTGTGGTCTTATTTTAACATTTTTCTTAGTATAATGTTTCCGTCCTGGAATCTGATTTATTTTTGCATAAATCTTAATTTGAATCAAAATAATGACCCACAAATTAGCTAAAGGTGTGCGTGAATTATTTTGAGTAAATGTAATAATGCATGCAATTATGGCACTCACTTCAATCACCTTAATTACAGCATTTATGCATACTTTGCAGTAATATTGTAATAACTTCATGTAGCTTTGATTCAGTCATGTTTCAGACACTGGAATTACTTGGTAGATATCGTATAGCTATCATATTTTTGATTCAAATTTTTCTTAATCTATTTTCTTAAGTGAGTATGCCAAATAAATTGAGACATTAGCTGCATTAAAGTAGTTGTGGGTCGAATTGAATATTTATGTCTTATTTTTTATGTTTTCATTATTATTGATAAATGGTATTAAGATACCATAAATTGAAAAAAATAGGAATTATTGGTAAATTTTTCGAGAAAATAGAAAATGATTAAAATTTCCATTATTGCACTGGTTTCCTATTGTGAAATTATTGTTTCATTTTTTTTAAATTTTGCTCGGTGAAATGGGATGAAACGTCATACATTATAATCGATATAATTCCTAATATTGTTAATTAAACCATTTCAGTATGATATTAGTTTTTATGTTATATTATGGAAGTTCTCTTTTACAATGGAATGTATAAATACGTGCAGTAAAATGCTCAGTACTAAAAAAAAAAACTACCTTAAATATGTTAAAACTAAGTTATGTCTAGTTAAATTATACCAAACAAAGTTTATAACATTTCTGTATCTACAGACTATAATAAAATTAAAAAGTTTTGTTGAGCCATACATGTATGACGCATGTCAAGCTTACAGCGTATGTTTTTTTCTCAGGTACAGCATTATTCATTTTCTTAAAGTATTCAATTTACATAGCTTTAAAGGGCAACAGTCGTCACGCTGCGTCCTGTTCGATATGGACTCATAGCAATGTATATAACGCGTGTAAAATACATTGTTTATTTATATGAAATTTGAACAATCGCTGCGCGACGACCACCACGCTTTAAGGTTCTGTAATCATTCAGTGTAAAACATTTTCACAAATTTATAAAGCAATGCAGACTTTTGATGTAATGATTTACATTTTTTATCTAATATTTTGCATGTTTTAACTTTGGAGGCTTTACGTAGCATTTTTGGATATGTTGTGCAAAGTGTGTTGTGTATTTTTATTTTCAAGTTTTTTGTATCATAGCATTTTAAAGTGTGTGACCACGATTTGCTTGCTTGTGGTTATGATTGTTAGCAGAGAAGGTGCTGTAAAAATACTTGTTGATGGATTTGGTGATCATTTTCACTTAGTTTAAATTAAGTAACACAATAATTTTGGCTTGAGGACCAAAATCACTTGGACTATGAACAAATAATTTTTTTTTCAAGTTGAATTTTTGGCACCCCACCTTCCTTTCTATATTTCTCTGCTTCGCTACCAAAAATGGAGAAGCAGAGTGAGAAAGTTGGAGTGAATATTTTGAAGAAAAATCACAAATGAGTTGTTAATTCCTTGCAGTGGTTGGGATTGTTGATGTTAACGAAAACACCGTAAAATCTTTATTAGAAGCTGCATTCTTAATAGAAGCTGTATACCCACCCATTCTTTTTGAATAATTGAGAACCAAAAACTTGCCATTTCTCATACATTTGTATGTTGGTGTTCTAATAGAAGCTACATTTCCTCTGTTGCATTGTATCATTTAAATAGAATTAAGCCGTGTCTTTTAATACAGATTTTACAGTAGTTTCAAACAGAAAACACATCAAAGTGTATTGATCTTTTAAAGGACTATGTTGTTTTAGCTCAGTATAGAAGGGATTGTTTTGATTACATTTCAATGTAGCTGAAATAAACAGATTTAAAACACAGCAGTGCTATAATTTGATTTTTTTTTCATGTCATTTACTGTAAAACATGTCTTTTTCGCCAGCATGTCTTTTTGGCGAAATTTAGTGAGAGAACTAATTGGCTAATTTAAGATGTCGCTAATGATTTCATTATAATTTCAAAATGGCCGCCAAATAACGTCTTTTTCTCCACACACGCACACACTTTGTTAACAACATAGAAAACATAATAATCTGGGGCACTTCCTTATTACACTTGACAGTTTTTTCTTTGTTTTAATGGAAGTGATAACTGCGCATTTATTTTGGCAGGTGAAAGACAAGTATTGTGAAAACAGGAAATCAAGACAAGAGAGATTCACTATAAAATCAACATTTCGCTATTACGTCATTTTACCACAATTATCTAAAATTGCATGTCGCTTTTTCAACATGTTTTACAGTATTTCATTGTGGGGGGGGGGGCAGAAATTCTATAGCAGAGAAACTGCAAACACAAATTCTACTCTGTTTTGAGGAAGATAAATAAGTTTGTACAATTTTTCCTAGTTTTAGTGCCCCTCAGGAAAATACTTTCTGTTTCGGGCCATGCAAATCAATACCTCCATACAACATAATATTGTTAGTGGACTTCTTTTAGACTTCCAGTTCTTATGTCATTTACTATTTGATTCCAAAAGCTACAAAACCACTCTATGGATACATGACTCATTGGCTCTTATGTAATGCTATGGGTAATTTTTAACGGCTGATCATCAATGCAGCACACGTTTTCGAACAATGTTTTTACACACGTAAATGCTACATGGGATACCGGTAGGATAAAACAACATGATTGACGTACGCAAGTGCTGGTTCGAGTCGCGCATGCAAGTACATGTTTATTATAATTTGACATAGTATTTACCTTGCCGTTTATTCGGTGTTATTTGCTTACTTTACTTTCTATGTCAACAGCAACTATGAGTTTAAAATTATTTCTCAGTTCTTATTCACTGTTATAATGCTGTACCATTACTTTCACCATCCTACTACAGCCAGATCTGACGGCCTTTGCCGCATTCTGGCCACGCTGTGTAGCGCGGATCGCGTTTCAAGTTCTCTGCACATAATAAGCTCGGTTATTAAGCATGCTTTTTTGGGAATGCCAAGTGGCCGAGGGGAAGATGTGTAGTGGTGTGAAGCTAGGCGATTTGGTGTTGTACGGGAGCGCCAGTTCGAGTAATGCACGCAGTACGTGTTTACTATAATTTGACGTAGTATTTACCTTGCCATTTATATGTTATTTGCTTACTTTATGATTGATGTTTGATATAACACAACATAAACATTGCATTTGTCTGCATTTTAATATCTATTCATCAAAATAATCTACTGACATAATTGTCAACATATGAGTAAATGATTTGTATTCATCCCTTGAGTAAAAGAAAAATTTACAATTCATATAATACCTTTCAAAATCTGAGATACACAGGAACAAACAATGGACAGACATTGAAGTCTTACATATTAAGTTTCACGCAACACGCATATCATAACTTGAAATTTAAGGACAACGATGCAAAATTTTCAGCTGAAATTTATGCAAAGGTTAAAATCATCTTGCTATATTTTCATCCAATCAAAAGTGGTGAGTTGTTAAAAATAAAAGATTTATGCTATCAACAATTTGTATTTATGTAGCCATTGTTACTAAAAAAGTCAGGACAGAGTCGCTATTTACACTGCTTAAAGAGGATGCTAGAAAAAAAATGCTTGAAAGTTCATCATCATCATATACCACAAAATTAATTTTGGCTTCGTCTTGTATGCATACAAACAAAATTGGGAAAAAAATGCAGCCAATCTCTATTAGAAATAATAATAGACCATTTTCCGTACACTGCGAGAATCAAGCGTTATGTGTGAAATCGAACGTAAAAACAGGACAAACAAAGGTCATAGCGTCGTAGTCGCGTCAAACATCACGTGGGATTCGACAAACGCAAAAGTATTTCGGGGACACTTCCATGCTTAATAATGTGCTGTCCACATTTGATGATAGGCAATTTCAATTAAGTAAGGGTATTCGGAAGCAATATTCCTCTGTCGAAGATCGGCCGGTCAATGTAAGCTGCGAAATAAAGAAATTCTAGTTCAAAATCAAATCGTTCGATTTTTGCAGCAGACGTTCGACGCGCGTCTTTCATGCATCTCGCGAGATCTCGCAATTGTTCGGAAAATCACCTATTATCTAAGATGAAACCTATTTTATAATCAATTAAAATGGCATTCAGCTTTTATAAACTGATAGCTATGTATAGAATGGCAACCTTAAAACATGAAAGAAACACCAGGGTAATAAAGTCTAATAAAGCTGGTACAGAGTGCTGTTAGGCATCAAACAGTTGTTTTAGATGGTGATTGGGGCCAAAGTTTGGCGGTAATTTGTTAACCACTGATGATTAAGATTGTTTTGGAGAATAAATTAAGAAAGGACAATTGTTTTCTTAACATTGAACACATACTGTAAATGAAAAATTAAAAGTAAAATTAACGAAATAAAATCCATGTTAACGTGTAAAATAACAATAGAACTCATTATTTTTATAAACATAATTAAAACCCAGTGAGTATGCTCAAAACATCAAAATTATATAGTAGTGAAAATAAATGATTTCACAGTAATCTTCTACACTCTGGCACAAGCACTCACATTAGGTCACAATCAGGAAAAATATACATTTAATCAAAAAATTATATATATTTTTTCTTTCCATTTGAAAAATGCTGTAAAAATGTATGTACAGTATAATACAGGTGCCGATTCATAAAATGAATACATTACACATCGGTAACACTCTAATAAGTAACTTTTCCCACATACAATCTCAAGCCATTCCCTTTACAATAAACATGATTGTAATGTAACAACATGAAGTTGACCAAAAAAGTCAAAATACTCAAGCAATTTATTTGAAAAGACCAAATAGAGTTGATGGTATCAGTTAAAAAACTACACTATGAAGCTCAAATACTTAATATTAAAATCATTTATTATTATTAAAATCATTGCTTAGATAATAAAAGTTTGTTAGTAATATAAGATAATTGTGATGTATTCATGACAGATCTCTGCAGATTGTAAGACCTTTCTCATCCTCTAAAATGTTTTCCACTCGTTCTCTCTGCAATACAAGAATGAAAGACAGGTGTTATATTAGTATAGTTATTAAACGCACGACAACGAGTTGCGATTAACGGCTTATACCACGCATCCCCATGCATAAAACGATTAAATTGCAAGAGATTTTTAGTGACTGTTTCGGTTGTGCGTGAGATTATGCCACTTCAAATTTGCATGAGAATGCTCTTTGAGATTCAAATTAGTAAAGCTCATCTGCGTTCATCGAATACGATTGAATGTTAAGTGATATGACCAATAAGCCTTATTTGCTGAATGGTCTTTTCAAATAAACTCCACTCATTGGTCAATATTTTGAATAAATTTGAATTTTCCACGTGTCAAAGCATGGTCTTGTCATTTCGAATGCAGGCAGCGCTCAGTGATGGTCGAATACAGTGACATCCCCGATTCGGAGTACAACGATGACATTGAGAGATTTTGCTCTCAATACAACGAAAAAGAAGATTTTAAGTTAACAAAACAACAAGAACATCAACGTTTCGGTTTACCTGTAGACAATGAACAGATAGCTACCATTCAGAATTCGCGAGTGCCAAAAAACATGCGTAGATGTACTAACTGGGGAGTGTCTGTGTGGGATGAATGG